GAGATCTCCTGCTGATATACTGTAAAATGTTCCTTGCTGATCTGTGGGAGGTAGAATGAAGGTATGACTTCAGTGTCCACAAAGTCCAATCCCCATGTTTTTGTGAAGAAGTCAGATTCTCTTTTTGCTAATCTAGGATCATTTAATGCTGCTGGGAGATTTACTTTGGAATGATATATAGTCCATCTATGTTGATCTGTAACTAGAGATGGGGCAACACATAAACTATTTGAATCACCTGCGAAAAGTAAACAAGAGAACTCTGTAAAGTAAGTTTTATGTTTGAAAGCACATTCTAGAAAAATAAAAATGCTTAGATTATACAAAGCAACTAAACTCTCCCTTCTATAGCAAATGCGTTAAACTTCAGCTTTCAGCATCAACTGCCAAGGGGAGGAAAAACATGTACAAGATAAAGGATATGCAGAATTTGAGGGTTGTAGCTGAACGGTGGGGGGAAGAAAGTCTTTCATTAATTTCTTTCCTTAATGTACAATTTATCTTTTTTTCAACATCAAAACTCTTCTACCTTCTACTGTATGTCTTCTATCCTTTAATACTCCAGGTTTTTTCCACAGGTAGGCCTTTTTTCTATTGTTTTATGGCAGACACACCTGGTTCCAATATCCTTTTTTTCAGCTTATAATTAGATAACCAAAATGCTTCTGTGACATTAACCATAGTGGAGAGAAAAATATACAGTCGGTTCTCGTTATTCACAGTTTTGTTCTATCAAGTCACTGGAACATTTAATAAGCAAATACTGAACCTTTGCTCCTATGGGAAATACAGGGTTACCGTTCCTGCAAATCTTTGCAACTTTCATCATCTAATCAATATATAATCTTGTTTTGTGTGTGTTTCTGTTTAAAGATATCTTATTTAATATATATTGTTCATTCATTAACATTGAACTCACGGCTAACACCACTATAACTCACACCTGAATGAAGCTTATGCAACATATATATTTTCCTCATAAGACACAATATAGCCTTCCTGTGCTTAGAAACACTAGAAAGCACTTCAGTACCACATTTGGAAGCCATTTTGAACAGCAAAATCATCAACAAAAATACAAAAAAATGTGGCACTAAAAGACCACAAAAGGGACATGTGTTTACAGCATGAAAGCTGAAAGAAGGCAAAGTGTTACTTAGCTCAATCTCAGGTGGGAACGTGCGTATCAGGCGATTCAAATTTTTCACTCCTCTGTGCTTGTCTACAAATGACCACAAATGTGCCAGAAGTATTGATTTAGGGGTTACAACTAAATTTTAGGAATTAAGCAAATTTGCAAATATAGAATCGGCAAATAATGAGGACTGACTGTACTATGTTTAACTGAAGAGCTTTCAATCTGTACCCTCATTTTCAAAACTTTTCTTTTAGTTTATATAAGTGACTTCGTTTATGGAAATGTATGAAAAGAACTACATTCCAATTTCTTAATCAAATTATTTCCAAATTATGTCTTTAGTTTTCACATCGTAAAATTTACTCTTTTGAGTTAAGTATATGCTATCTGACTTCATTTAAAGATAAAACAAATCCTCAATAAAATTCCTCAAAAAACAGAAAACAGGTATTACCTGTGGGTTCCTTGGGACACACATCTGGCAGTGACTGCACAGGTCGAATGTGTTTTGTCGGGTCTACCTCTCTTTTAAAGAAAACATCACTGCTGCTTCCTTGAGGCACTGGTGAAGAACTGTGGCTTGAAGCCATTGCATAAAATCACCACTCAACTGAAAATGAGCAACAAATAATCATCAAGATATTTAATACAAATCAAAACTCATCTGTAGGTACTATGCATGTCACAAAAATTTTCTTTCAAAAACAGACACATTATTTAAAATCCCTCAAGGTGTAAGTACATAATTTGAATACTCACTATTAATTGTGGGAGTCATTCACTATATTTAGTTTGCTAAGAAAGTTATTTGTACTTGTTTAAAAAGTATTCTCCTCAAAGTGAAATATCCTTATTTAGTCTTTTATCCAAAATGAAAATAGATACCAAAACTGTAACCAATATATATTAAAAATGAAAACATTCCATTCATTCAGCAAGTATATAATAATTACACATTATAGCAAAGTGGGTTAAGTGCATGGGTTTTTGAAATCTGACTGTCTGGGCTCATATACCAGCTTCACTTACCAGCAATATAACCTTGAGGATATTTACTTAATCTTTGTGTGTTTTACTTCATGTGTAAAAATGGAGATGAAAAAAGATCCCATCTCATAAACATTTTGTAAGAATTAAAGGAATGGATATATGTAAAGCATTTAAAACAATACCTGCCTCAAAGTTAGTGTTCATAAATGAACACAAGTTATCATTATGTTTACAATTACTATGTGACTGTCACTATGTTAAATGTTTATAAAAGAAGTATCATTCTTCAAGGTACTTGCAATTATATTAGGTAATCAAACAAATCAAAACCCTAAACAAAACACAAGTTAATCTACGTCTACACTTTTTAACCAGTAAGAAAAGAATTTGTGGGGCCAAGACAACATAATAAAGGCTACAATGTCAGCTAACACTTTACAAATGAAGCAGTACATAACCTGGATAATGAAGAACATGTATTATTTTACTATCGGAGGGTAGAAACTCATATTGCTGATCATATCAACCAAACAGCAGACATTCAATAAATACTTTTTAATGAAGGAATAAATAAATGAACATAAACAGAAGCTTATAGCTGAAAAGGAACTTAGAGATCACCTAGTCTAAATTCCCTGACACTAGAGATAAGTTTAACAAGGCCCTAAAGGATTAGGTGGTTTACAAAGATACATGTGGTTTAACAAGTTTTTTAAAAAGCCAACTTAGGAAACCTTGTGAATAGAAAAGTAAGAGTAAGAAATAAAAGGACAGATATAAGGCTAGGACTGGTGACAAAAAAGTCATCCCCTCTAACTCCTCTATAGTTTGATGGAAAGCTAAAAATTACATTTCCCAGACTTCTTGTACACCTGTCTCAGTCCTTCTAACGCAAAGGAAACACATCCAATTACACCATTCACTGAGACCATAAGAAACAAGCTGCTAAGAAAAGAACAAAGATAAATAACTTCCTCAAAGTTCCAGAAAAAGCAAAAAACAGCATGAACAAAAGTTAAGGGACATGGAATAATCATAAGACTATGCGGAAACTGACTTGGCTGGAGTGAAATGTTTGCTAACAAAAATGCTGACAAAAGTACTGACAAATAAATCATATTTACACACACACACACACATACACACACAAAGACAGTATGGTCAAACTACAGGAGCCAGTAGAGGTTTGGGGGAAAAGAGTACTACGATGAAAATATCCGGGAAAATTAATCAGGGTATTGGTTTGAAAGCCATCACCGGCCCATTGCATTTATATCCATATATATTAAGTGTACAGTTGTTTCTGTATAAAAGCATTTGCACATTTAAGAAGAAGAAACATTTAAGAATGTTTCCTAAGGATAGGAAACATTGATAACACAGAAGCCTGTACATTCAGTGCTTGGTAAAGACAATTCTACATGTGACATTAAGTCTGTTTAACTTTTTTGTTAATTTCATCAAATAAAATGGCTAAAATAAACACATTTTGACACTTAAAGAAGTAGGCTACAAATATATGGAAAATGTGTTTATGTCGAACACCCATTGCTTGATGTCAGATAAATTAAACATTGATTCCGACAATAGCACACTACAATTTCAATGTATTCTATTTACCATCATGTTGTTTTTTTAACAGCAAAAAGAAAGCCTAATTTACATCTTAGGAATCTAGAAATACTTGGGGAGATGGGGACTTGTGGAAAAACATTTCTAGACTCCTATAAGTTACTTCTATATCTGGGTGGGGAAATAAAAATGGCTTATTTACTCCTTAAAGATTCTGAATTGGGAAACATGTATAAGTTTTCTGGTTTTTTTCCTACATCCCTCCTAATTCTTATGAAAAGAGGGACAATCTCTAGCTATAAAGGGATTATGTACAATTAGGGTACTGCCTACATGGGTGAGCCCCAATTTCTATCCATCTGACTCTCAGATCCTCTCACCATCCTGTGTTTAAGATGATCTCTCCACAGTAAGAACCAAACTTTGTATTAATAACCACATAACATGTATGACACAGATACTTGGTAAGTGCAATCATTGGTAATAAAACATGGCAGATTTATTCACAAAGCATGGATGTATAAACAAAAAACCAAATCTACATGGCCTCTAAACCAAACAATTTCAGCAAAGAAATAATCTTTCATAAGAAAGTTTTAGTGTAAGTGAAGAATAGTTTGTCTACCCAGAAAAAACAAACAAACCAAAAAAAAAAAAAAAAATACAGGAAAAAGGAAAGCTCTCAGCACTAAATGTAGGCAACCCCCGATTTTTAACACTTCCACTTGTAACTACCATCTAGATACAAATTGGGCATTTGACCAGTGGTCACCAGTAATGAGAATCTATAAATAGATCCACCCTTCTTCACATGGTAATCTTCTCATAATTATATCATTACCATACTCAAATATTTTCTCTTGAAGTCTTCTTTGGTTTCTTACACTTAGTCGCTGTTTATTTCTATTTTTGCACCAATCGTACTGAAATTTTGGTTTTCATATAGGTCTTTCCTATTAGACTGTGAACTTCTTGATGTTTCCATTTTCCTGTGTATTCTACATGCCTAACACAGTTCCTGGCACACAGAAAATATATTATAAATATTCTATAGATGAATAAAATGGGTAGTATGTAGAACAGATCAGAAGAGAGAAACATTAGTTAGACAACTACCAATAATCCTTGAGTGAGTAGATAGAAGCATGGGTCTGGACTGATGAAGAAAGGAATAAACAGACTCATTTGTTCCAAAAGAAAAAAACTGCAAGGATGTGTAAATCAGAAACATTTGATTTTCTTTCTTGTAGCTCAAAATATCTTTTTATGCTAAAAGTTTAGTTAAGAGCTTCTATTTAAAAGGCCTAGAAGCACTGTCACTCCAGAAGCAATGAGCACACCAAGCGCTCAGACCCTGGTTTCTAAATACCATTCCCCACAAAGAAACAATGGTTCTTTAAAGAAATAGTTGACTCCAAACCTGAAGCACAGAAAGAACAATTTGATCATGAGAACACTTGTGTCAGAAAGCAAGGAAATGCTCTAAGACCAGTAGGATCTATCAAAAGGACCAAGGACCAAGTTAAAGGGCTCCCACTGACCACATTTAGGACAAGTTGAGCACTCAAAAACAAAAAAAACAAAACAAAAAACCCTGAGTGTAACATATTGAACAAATACAAAATAATGAATCTATAGTGTTACTTGGGGGGAGGGGGATGAGGAAAAGGGGGTGGAGTGGGAGAGGGGAAAGGAAATCTCTTATTTATAGAAGAATGCCAGTAAATGTGAAGAAATGACTGAAATAGAAAATCACCATTTTGTAACCCCCAATGTAAAAATCAATTTAGGCAAAAATCATCAATGTATGCTAAAGCTATTAGGTGAAAGGCTGTTCAGAAACAGAAAATTCACCTAATGCCAAAGTATTACCTCACAGACTACTTTGCAATGCAAAGGGAAAAATGTATCTCTAAAATGGAAAGATCTGTCACCACCTAATTAACTAAGTTATCAAACTTGGCATCATTCAGAATAATAAGACAACTTGATATTATGTGATTCATGAAATAACAATATGAAATAAACATCATCGCCTATGAAGCATTCTCACCAAAAATGTTTAACCCAATCTAATCAAGCCTCTAGACCAAGGGTTAAGCCTTTTGTCCTGTGGATTCCTTTGGCAGTCTGGTAAAGTCTACAGAACCCTTGCCAGAATAATGTTTATAATGCATAAAATACATAAGATTACAATGGACAATTATACTGAAATATAGCTGTTAAACTATCTTCTTAAATTTTAATACAGTAATATTTTTGCTTGATTATGCAAATTTATCCTAATTTCTAAGCAATAAATGAGCATAAATGTTTTGAGATAAATTTAATATGATATGAAAACAACTGAAATTTCTCTTGGTGACAAAGTTACAGGTAGTGCTAATACCCCTGTGAAAGGTTTCTTACATTCACAATTAAAGGAAATGCTAAAATTCAGTTAAGGTATGGCTGCTCAACCATGGCACCACTGACATTGACATTCTGATCTAGATAATTCTCTCCCTGTACATTGTAGGATCCTTAGATGCATCCTTAGCCTCTATCCACTTGATGCCAATAGCAGCCTCGCACCCAGTTGTGATAACCAAAAATGTCTTCAGGCAAAGCCAAACGTCTCTAGGCGGGGGAAGAGAGGAGAGAGGACAAAAATCACCTCAGTTGAGAACCACTGAATTAAAATAAAGATGTAATTTTTTTCCCCATCCAAAGTTCCGACTCCCTGTATTCTATTCACAGACCCTATAGAGTATGTGAACTGAGTTAAGTACCTTTGCTCTAGACCTACCTTCCAGTCTAAGAAAACAGAGGGGAGTAGGATAGTGAGATTTAAACCACAACATGGGGAAACAAATAAACTGAGAATATGAGACACTCTACAAGAAAACTGGCCTGGACACTTAGATGAATGTCATTTTTAAAAGCTGGGGAACTATTCTATATTAAAATAAATAAAGAGACAACTAAAGGCAATATGCAAGCCTTGATGGGATGCTGGTTAAAAAAGAAAAACATGCCTCTAATACAC